GCCAAGTTTACATGCAAGCAATGAGAGGTTAAATTAAATCTTATGTAGCATTTGCAATTTTTGTTATGTATCTCAATTGTGCAAATGATGTACTATATTAAACTTGATTTGGGCTTCCCAATTTTTAAGAAACATTCAAACTTGTTCTTTCTCTTCCTTCAAGTCAGCTAATTGTACAGGTGGCCACTATAGTTTTGAACAAGACATTTTTTTACAACTGAAAGGTGAGGCAGAGGGAAAGGATCGATTGATCAAAATAAGCAGCCTTATCATGGCCAGGAGACTGAACCATATCTAAACATATTGAATTGTACAGTAAGATGTACAGAAGTGAGATCAGACTGTGAAACCTAAATATGAAAAAGAATTTCCTTATTTTAAAAAGTCAGTATTCTTTAACTATATTCAGCACTAACATATATTGGGGGGGTTTGATATTTTCTGTAGAATATGCTATATTCTGTACTTTTACATTCAAAGATACATATTCAGATATAATTTTGTACTGCATTTCAGGTAAGAATGCAAGAGATGCTGAACCAATAGAAGTCTGTAGAAATTAGAAGCCTGTAAGAGTTACAATAAAAACTCATGTGATTTTACAGAAAGTGATGTCCTGTTACAGCAGGGATCACCATTCATCATTGTTACCCCTACTCTTACAAGTTCTTTTTCTAAATAGGCTACCTGTTGATTCTGCCTTTGTCCCGTGTTCCATAGCACAGACAATAGCCTGTTACAGGGTTAAACCAGTTTCTGATCATTTAAACTCGGTTATGTGTAATGTCTGCCCCTAGCCCTAGGGAGCAAATGCTTGGTGTCTAAGCTGAGACCTCTGAAACATGGAACAATTTACATCCCAAAATGTTTGACCACTTTAGTTCCAAGACTGTACTCTGTATAAATAAAGACTAAGGGCAGAAGTTTATTTTATCTGATGTGCTCAAATGACACTTGTCCAGCTGCATAACTACTGTTTTCAGCACTTATGAGCAATTCCACATGCAGTGTAGTCTTACAGGTATCCACACAGCTACTGAAAATACCTGTTCCAGTTGGGCAGGTATGCAGTTCCATGAGTATATACATGGGCAAGCATAAGTCCAAAAATTATAGCCAGGTAAAACCCCATGACTAGTCTCATGGTTACATCACTCACCTAGGAAGCGGGAGAATGAAGTTTTAGGGTCACTTCACCCACAAAGATTTTTAAATCTTTATCTCCTGCTTCCCAGCATAGTGCTCTAACTAGCAGTTGACCGATTTGGCATTACCAGTCCCCTATGACTGAAAATATGGATTGATCTGAAAGTTCTCTCATTCTTGGTATCAAAGTACTAACATCTGGGGAAATGTGGTTAATAATGTCTTTCTGGAGCTGCTCCTACAGACTTTACTTCATAAGAGTTGTGATAATGGAATTTAACCAAAATACCACTCCAGCCATGAGAAGGTGGGAACAAACCACTCTGAAACAAGATAGAAGGATTTCAGTAGGCAAGGTACTTAGAGTGGGAAGCTAAGTTTCGGATACAAATTAATGTGGTTATGATTTAATGTAATAGATATAGTTAACTATAAACCTAACTTTTGCTACATGTTCTTGAGGTAAATATCCTGGTAATAGTGAATTAGAAGGAACTGTTCTTTTAAATAAAAATATCTGCATTGGCGCAAGCTAAGATTATGCTTATACTGGCCTCCATCTAAGGCTTCCTAGCATAAAATAAGCCGCAGCAGGGGTTGGGAAGATCTCCACACAGTGACAGGGCAACAGACTAGAACCTGTGTACAAATATAATTATCCTCTGAATGTTCCTGTTCTGTGTGTTTTCTGCATGAATTATTCATTTTTTGAAGTAAGCAATTAGTGTTTTGAAAATGCGAGAGTATCAGATATGTTTCTTTCATTTAGTTCTTCCACAATCAGAAATGTAGTTGGTCTAATTAAATGTATGTATGCATCATTTTAGAAA